CTTTTTCTAAAGTCTATTTTTCTCTTTTTTGACCTCATGGTGTTAGTGTCGATAGATCAACTAAAAAGAATAACAGTCCATCCCAGCAGGCATTTCAACGTTGATTCAACGTTGAATCAACGTCGCACTTCAACGTTGAATCAACGTTAAATTTTGGTTGCATATGAAAGTTGAGGCAACGTTGAGACATGACGTTGTTTCAACGTCAATTTTCAACGTTGAATAAACGTTGAAAATGGGTTGAAGTTTTGGTTGATTTATGGTTGATTTTTGGTTGCAAATGAAAGTTGATGCAACGTTGAAGCTTCAACGTTGTTTCAACGTCAAATATCAACCTTGAACAAAAGTGAACATAGGTTGTAATTAGGTTGAGATTTGGTTGAAATTTTTCGGTTGTACAAACGTTGATATTTGGTTGAAATCACGTTGAATTCATATTTCATTTTGCTTTATAAACAAATAGGCTATATTTCAAATTTTAATCATTTTTTTATTCAAGTTGCGTAATATTTATAATTATATGTTATAATCAAGTTTTACGATTGTGAGAGAATTTATTTTAGTCTGTACTTTAAAGACAAACACAAATTCGGATTCAATCACTGAAACTCAAAAATCACTGCTTGACAAAATTTATAATCCTAGTGAAAAGGGGGTCACAGTAATTACATCCAGGTTCTTCAAAGTTCGCGTCTGTCCTACACTGCTAAGTTCCACAAAGTGGCGGATCCATTGATTTTAATCTTGCATATAGTTAAGTCCCACGAATGAAAGAAATGAACACGAGAATCCACCCTCTACAGCAAAAGCCTATAGTAATAAAAGAAATAAAGATGTTAAAGCCATTTGTTCGATAATATGTACGTAACACGTTATTTCAAACGATAAAAAATAAATATACATGAATGATTTAAAATAAAAAATCAGACAAAAGAACTTATTCCAGTACTTGGATTTAATTAACATGATTAAAAGAATTATAGTTGATTTCATCTTAAAATTCGTATTAGTATGCTTATAAATAATTATTACTAAAGAATAATGTTATAGACATACATAGACATAATGTACTTACAAAATGTTACATTCCTTTGTATAATTTTCCCGGGCGAAGAATCTGATGCAACCAAGGCTGACTATACAATCAATTCCCTGCACCACTAGTTTATTGAACCTTATGGCAAACTACAATTAATTAAATTGTATAATATATTAGTATATTTATATTTCATAACCAAATGATTATCAAAAAAACACATAATACACGAACCTAAGATGTGCATTTCACGCAGATTTCAAATATACTTATAAAACGAGAATTAAATGATGTACAGATACTAAAAAACTTAATTTCTTAAATCCATGAAAAGGAAATAATACTTACTTAGCAGAAGTTGATATTCCAGCCTTAATCCTTGTGTATATAGCTTGAAAATACATTAAATATGAACAGAAAGGAGACGCGCACTTCTTGTCCATCAGTTGAATTCAAATTTTGACCTAGATAAGCTGCAAACAGCTATACTCTGTCCAGCAAGAAAATTGCATAACAAGGTTATCCTGACACTGAAAGTGACCAACTAAGCGAGAGGCACTCCTTATCTGATATCTTGAAGGTTTTAGGGAGTGGATCTTAAGTAATGCTACTTGACCGGGGTCAATTGTCAGTGTGAAAATTGTTATGCGTTTATTTGATTTTTTTTTATATTTTGTGAAAAGAAAGATTATAGAATTAATACACACAACAAAACACAATCTAATAAAATAAGACTTCTTAGATTTGCTAGAGTATAACAATCTGCGCAAGAGTATACGGCACGGATCTATATTACTCTAATTTTAAGAACATTAATTCGGAATAAATAATGGTGTTATCAATAAATGAATTGAATTAATTATTTTTATTTGTTCTATAGTATTCTATTTAAAATACTTTGATGGTACTAACTGTTGGCACAACTCTTTTGAGTAAATCAATTCATAATGCATGCGTTTCATTTATTATGTATAATTATTAATTATATATATAATATTTTCTAAAGACACCTTTATATTTTGACTTAAAAACTAAAGTGTTCAATACTCATTAGCAGTTGTTTCAACGTTTAATTTTCCTGACTTTCCTAAAGTTGAAAATATATTGCATCTTCCACATTGTTTCAACGTTGAAATCAAGAAAAAGTCAACTTTGTGTTTTTAAACCTTGTTTCAACTCTTCAATATCAAATACTCAACGTTGAAAACATGTTGAATCTTCAACGTTGTTTCAACGTTGAAATATCAACGAACATCAAACGCTGAGAATATGTTGCAGCTTCAATGTTGTTTCAATGTTGAAATATCGACGAACATTCAACGTTGAAAATATGTTGCAGCTTCAACGTTGTTTCAACGTTGAAATATCGACGAACATTCAACGTTGAAAATATGTTGCACCTTCAACGTTGTTTCAACGTTGAAAAAAGGTTGTGGATTCAACGTTGAAACTTCAACGTTGTTTCAACGTTGAAATATAGTTGATCAACGTTGCAACCTATATTCCACCTCCTTTCAACGTTAAAACAACGTTGCGTGCCTGCTGGGATGATTTTTATCACATCTTTGAAACCTCAATTTCGGTTACTGCTGCATGAGAAGATAATGTTTATGCAATCGCAGCAGAGTATATGTTACATATCAACAAAATGTTAATAGGGCGACCTGTGATTTTGTCGGGCTTAGATTTTGATTTATTGATTTTATATTGTTTAACGCCGAGTCGGCAATTTTTCAGCCATATTTCGGCGGACTATAAGGTTAATGGATAAGTAAAGTTTTTGATTTCTCTGGCGGCCCGCAATGAGCCTACTCTTTTTCGAACTCCAGAGAAACGATCTTTTGCGTGCCAAGGGGGTTGTCATCCTTGACACGGGGCACCATTTAAAGTCCCGTCCGACGGACTTAAATATTTTTAAAAATATATAAACTATTAAAAATAGTGTATATGATGGTGAAAAAATGTGAACTTACAGCTTGACTTAGGTCAGAATATTATGACATGGCCGCAGCTCTATCCAATACAAGGGGTTGATTACAAATGTAACAGCGGGGATTCACGCACCGGAAAAGAAAATGATGAAATGATAAGAAACAGACCATCTCAATTTTCTCTCACAACAACCTATTGACGCTAATTCATTCATTTATCTTGAAAACAATGAATTTGTTTTCAAGTTCTGTGTGAAAACAGTTTATTTTTCCGTTTCCCGTTATTTACCCCACATGATGATTTGTGTGTAAGGCAGTTTTGAAATTGGCGGCATCGGATATTTGCATTGTGCCCAGTGGCTTATCCACTTCAAAGTCGCAGAGAACACGCAGCAAGTTAGAGAAAGCAAACCAAGTTAGACTGTCCCTCAATAAGCATGATAAGTGATCGCAATTATTTCAGGAGTGGTTTAAGTGACGACTGGATATGAAAGTGACTGTTTTCTGATGAATGGAGAAATAACGAAACAAAGACCAAACATTGAATAATAAAGGTAAATTTACAATTATATATGTATATGTTACGATAAGTGTAATTAAGGTAGTGTCTGGCATATGAATTCTATCCTTATCTTCAGTTACATGAGGATTTCAGTCCTTGGTCAAGGTGGTTGCTTTCTTTATTGTGTGAAATGCTAAACACTTTAGCGATCATTTTATTTGTAATAAAACTACCTGCATGTACATGTTATCATTTACCTCTCTGAACTCCCCTTTTGGCGTTAGTAATTAGTGTTTTAATTGGAAATGTACTGTCTGAACTAATCTGAATTCAAAATCGTGTTTAATGCAAAAGTATATGATCTGGATTTATGTGAGAAAATTGACATCATCCTCAAATAAAATTTATCTTGTCTTAGTTTGTCTACATGTGTGTGTAGACTGGGGGTATATATACCACTTGTATACGTGTTCTTTAGATGAATGAAATTTCCATACGAAAAACCAACGGAAAGACTATTTTTCGATTTTACAAAAATTGTGCAAGCACCACTGCTCGACTGTGGTGCGCAACATGTAATCCGACATGCCTCAAGAAATAAATGCCCATGGGTTTTGAAAAATTGAAAGTTTAAAAATAATTATATGAGATGATTTACGAGTCTAAAAATTTTATCAATAGGTCAACTATGGATTTGTTCAAAATATGGCGGCCAGATTTCCTTTGGAGATGTTGGAAATGCATTCAGCTAGTGTTCAATAGCATCAGCCATTGAGAAAGCATAGAATTGGAGCTTCGGTCAAACAAAGTAAATGTGATGGATGTGTTTGAAATCAAATTGTTCGACAATAATCAAGAGAGGGATTTGCCCCCTTCTCCATTTTTTCCTTCTCGGATATAGACTGGACAATACAATTTTCAACGTACTTTGAGATATTGTTTGTGACGTCAACATGCTACTGCATGCACATTGAATCCCCTCCGCTCGTTGAATACGGCTTGAAATCAGTCAAAAAAACTGTATGCGTTTGTATAGGATTACATCATTAGTATACTGAGATAAAAATGTCCCTCGAAAGTCTTTTTTTCAATAAGATTTAACATGTATGTTTCTTTCCTGTAAAAAGTGTATATTGTATCAATTTATTTTTAGAGGGAATTAACCCTCTGATGTTCTGCTGTTTTCTATATATAATGTTATTTTCTTACTGCGAATAATGACTGTAAAATCTAGTATGTTAATTATGGTTGCTTCGGCTTTGAAATACTGAATGTGCAATGAACCAATGTGAATTTAGAGAGGAAATTTACCCTGTAGATTTTTTCTATTTTCAAAATGTTTGTAGGTAGCACTGTATCACTGATATTCTTTGGGAGGAAATTTATTCCGTAAACATGATAAAATCAAATACGGTTCGGTTTCAAATACTGAATGTACAATGCACCAATGTCATTTTTGAGAGGAAATTTACTCTGTAGATTTTGTTAACTTGAAAATGTTAACGTTTTATAGATATGTTGAAAATTGTACATGTGTATCAGTGCTATACTTGGAGGGGGATTTACTCCGTAAAGTTAAGCTGTCTAAAAGACCCAATATACACTGTATCAATGTCATTTTTGATAGGACACTTACTCTTTTGCTAATTTCAAAGTTTAATTGTAGTAGTAAACATTGTATGAGTGATATTCTTTGGGAGGAAATTTACTCTGTAAAATCTACAAGCTATGTAAACGATGGTTGCGTTGGCTATCAATGAATGTACATTGCACCAATGTGAATTTAGAGAGGAAATTTAATCTGTAGATTTTTATTACCAAACTGTAATGTTAGTAGTGAACACTGTATCAGTGAAATTCTTTGGGAGGAAATTTACCCCGTAAAGTTTTGTTATATGCTATTTGCTTTTGAATTGACTACTGTATGTTTACTGTATGAATGTCATTTTGAGAGTCAATTTACTCTCTAGAATTTTGCTATTTTCAAATTGTAATGTAGTTGTGAACACTATATCAGTGGTTCTCTTTGGGAGGAAATTTACTCCGTAAAATCTAGCTGTGTAAACGATGGTTGCTGTGGCTTTGAAATACTGAATGTACAATGCACCGAAGTGCATTTTGAGAGGAAATTTACTCTGTAGAGTTTTTTCTATTTTGAAATGTAGTGGTGAACACCGTATCAGTGATATTCTTTGGGAGGAAATTTACTCCGTAAAATCTAGCTATGTTAACGATGGTTTCTTTGGCATTGAAATACTGAATGTGCAATGAACCAATGTTAATTTAGAGAGGAAATTTACCCTGTAGATTTTTGCTATTTTCAAAGTGTAATTGTAGTGGTGAACACTGTATCACTGATATTCTTTGGGAGGAAATTTACTCCGTAAAATCTAGCTATGTAAACGATGGTTGCTTTGGCTTTGAAATACTGAATGTACAATGCACCAATGTGAATTTAGAGAGGAAATTTACCCAGTAGATTTTTGCCTTTTTAAAATTGTAATTGTTGTAGTGAATACTGTATCAGTGATATTCTTTGGGAGGAAATTTACTCTGTAAAATCTTGTTATACCAAGGATAGTCGCTTTTGAATTGACTACTGTATGTTAACTGTATCAGTGTCATTTTTGAGAGGAAATTTACCCTGTAGATTTTTGCCTTTTTCAAATTGTAATGTGGTAGTAAAAACTGTTTCAGTGATAGTTTTTGGGAGGAAATTTACTCCGTAAAATCTAGCTATGTAAACGATGGTTTGCGTTCTTTAAACTTTTGATATTCACCAATAAATATCTTGTAAACTGTGTTATTTGTTGAGTTTTGTCAATACCTAAGGTCAAAATGCTTAAAAAGGAAAAAAAGATTTTCTGTTTTGATTTTGGAATGCGTTATTTGTAGATCTCAACATGAATCTACATATTTTAAATAAGAAAGAAAGTTTAATAGTTGTTTTATTTATCATCATTATGATTTGTCGAGTCCCTTGAATAGCTCGATACCTATTGTGACATTTTTGACGACATCAATGCGAGTTTGACGTCGTCAATGTATCACAGATGTCGACTTCAACATATGCCTACGGATAAGATACAAGTTGTATCACTTGAAATAAATAAATGCTTCAGAATAAATATTTCATTAAAGAACTTAAATCTTCAATAGATCCAAAATTAATAAATAAAATACTTTTGATGGGTCATATATGACCCCTGTGGCAGCCAGTGGATAGAGCCTATATATGACCCCTATGGCAGTAAAAAGTTAAATAATTTTATGTTCAGGTTAGGTATATTTTACATCGAGGTGCCTCATTAAACTGTTCTTTCGCAAAGGCATACACCAAATAAATCTTAACCATTTTTGAATATAAAAAAAGGATATGTTCCTTAAATTGAAAAGTGCTGCTGCTCTCTTTAAATCGAGAGAGTGACTTTATAAGTACACAAGATATTTGGTAAAAGTCAATCATATTTAGACATGGGTCTATTTACTAAAGACATTAACTATTAAAACGCGAATTCTATTCAAAGCAGCAGCTTTTCCAGAAAGTACAAAGCATGCAGAAACAATTAATAGCTTGAATTTTTAATTTCAAATGGGGTATATTGAAATTTGTTAATGACCTACATTGAGAACACGTATTATGCATTTATCACGTGACTGTCCATCGATGGGACCAAACTTTATTCAGTGCAGAGTAGGTTATACTATGCTAATTCCATAAGTATTTAAGTTCTGTGATAATAAAACAGTTGAATAAAGATAAATTCAGTTTTAAAAACAATTCCCGTTTTTGCTCTTCTATTTTCCGTTGATTTCTCATTGTAACAGTGCTGTGTAGGGTCATTATAAATGGATTCTGAACATTGTCTTGTAGTAAAAAAATCATAATAATTGATGTAAAATAACAATTAGAAAATCATAATGTGAGAAAAACAACGTACGAAAAGGGTAAAACATCTTTGTGTTTAAGACACAAATGTGGAATAATGTTAATTCATGATATCCCTAGAAAACTAAAGTAAACAATACAA